ATGTCTTCATGTCTTCTTATTTTCTTTTCATGGTTAGTTACTATGATCACTAAATTAATGTAATTTTTAATTGGCGGATTTGGGTGGTTACGACATATAAGAGAATTGAAGTTCTTGATGCGAACAATCTATTGCAGCGTTGATATTTCAAAAAAGCGGCTTATATTAGTAACGCTTTCGTAATTAGGTAATTTAACCAAGTCCAGTGGCGGAACCACAATAGCAACCAAAACGCGCAAGAGCGCAATTGCGGTATTTTCTGAGACATCCAGACTAAGTTAACGTCGTTATAGCAACTATCAGCCGACTTCAATATGTGGATGGGCAGGAAGTGCTTGCATGGCGCACATACGCTAACGAAGACGTGAGAACTACGCCTTAGTAGTCAGTGTCGTAAGCAGTGACGCCCGTCTGGTCTTCTGATTGTTGCGCTCATCGGTGGTCCTGTTTCGCTTTTTCCGCTGAATTCGGTTGGGTTTCATTATTTCGCAATTTCTAATCGAGGCTGCATTTTCTAAGTCTTAAAGCTGCAGTTAGTTCTCCGCATGAAGGACCTCAATAGAACATTTTAAATGACTGCCTAACTCCACTGAATAACAAGTTAATATATTAGTTTACTTGATTACCCCCCAATCGATATCATTGAGCTTCTTAAGATGCGTGCCGCTAGAAAAGACTGTGAAAAATTGAACAAAGTATATTACATTTTCCTGATTTTCATAGATATTGAACATGTTTCTTGAAACACAGTGCATAACTGAAATCTCATATATAGCATGATTATTGCACGAAAAGTCAGATGCGCAATTTTTTCAGAATGGCACCTTTCATCAGGTGCCCTGCATTTCATAAATATGCCTGAGTGTGCCATGATTAACACTCTTTCAAAGGCGTTATATAGAGTGAACTCTCAATTGAACAAGCGTTGGTTCAATGAATATTTCAGAATAACAAACTTACTGTTAACAATCGTTGGTTGTCCGATATATTCTGCGAAAAAAAAATGTGTGCGCTGAAGAAATTTGCGAATGGTAAACATTTCATTTGAGTGAACTTCTGCGGACGTATTAGATCAAATTAATAAAGTTTTCCACTCAGCCTTACCAGCGTAGCCGAAGCCTACGGTACAACGATTTTTATTCAATGACATTTCTGGAAACTCTCTCTCTCTCTCTATATATATATATATAAAAATATATATATATATATATATATATATATATATATACATATAGTTATATATATATATATATATATATATATATACATATAGTTATATATATATATATTTATACATATATAGTTCAGTAGATCGTCCGTGAGCAGTCACAACGTGGTTTATTTCGACGTTTCGGCCTAGAGTCTGGCCTTCATCCTGATGAAGACTCTAGGCCAAAACGTCGAAATAAACCACGTTGTGACCGCTCACGGAGGATCTACTGGACTATATGCAACGCTACGGCCACTCAACCACTATGCATGCATATATATATATATATATATGAGAGTTCACGGGTGAATGGGGGAAAGGAAGATGAGGAAGAGAAAGAGTTAGAATGTTCATAGTGACGCCAAGTCTCATCTGTTACAGTAAGGCGTATGGGCCAGGCAACGTCTCCCGCATCTAGCTGCACACAAGACGACAGGATGAAGACCTGGACGCCACTTCATCAACTGGCCTTCATTATCGAACACCTTAGCAAGACGCAGTGACCGAACGTGGACCACACAAGTTCATCCCAACTTTACACCATGACCAGCATCATGACAGCACCATCAGCTGACCTTGACATCCCCAAGTACACCGGATCAGCGGACGACGGACCCGTACAAGACTGGTTCAACCTATTGGAGCTCCACGCCGCCGCTGCATTCTGGTCGGAACGGCAGATGGTCGCAAACTTCACCGGCCACGTCACCACTGAGGCATTCAAATTTTACCTCACACACATCTTCGAGAACGATGAGTCTTGGAAAAAGATCAAAGAAATGATTACCCGTTTCAAAGAATGCGATAAATATCTGTCCACGCCGCATTAGTGGAAGTCTTTCCAACTCACCCATCACACATACGCGAAGAATTCCCTCAGTAAGCCTATTTTCCAAACAAAACCTCAGAGAAAATATACCACCATTGTATCATCTTATGACTCTTCAAAAAACGTCACGCATTCAAACACAGACTGGTAACTTTCACGTCGCAAGAGACGAGGTAAAGCCTCCGTATACCGAAAGGAATCTAGACCATTTTGCCAAACAACTAAACCTAAAGCTGGCTTTCCCAAAAACAATGAAATTGGCATTTTCAACGTGTTCACTGCATCACAACACTTCAGATGTTACTGAACCACCTGAATCACTTGATGCTTCGTGTCACACACAACACCTACAACGTTTGGAACGTGTGACAGCATTTACGTGGGACGAGCTGGTGAATCCTCACAATACCAGCCTACTTCCTGACGTTCCAGACCAGAGTATTTCGACAGACATTCTCAGCCTTATCACGCTGCAAAAAGAAAAAAAAACATACGCCAACAGAACTACCTCAAGCCATGTCTGTTGTGCTCTCATCGTCAAGGTATAACGCACATGTGAGTCAAAGCACTGCAGAAATTTCAAATACACCAACGCCGACGCATTCTCGACTGATAGAAGCATTTACAATCAATGATGACTCACGACCATCTTGGGATCTTTCTCATCAGTCTGTCACCCTGCTTTCATCGCAAGACAAGCCCAGCAGTACAGTATCGACTACCGACTATCTACTCATTACATCATCGCGCAAAGAAAAGAAGACTCGTGTTCCTGAAAGATACCCATCTGAACAACTTTCGCAACAAAACTAACAGTTTCCACAAAGGCAACATCAAGAACCCTAGGCACTACAACGCGTACTCGAACAAAAAGAGCGAACAAGAGAAACCTCATCACGAGTATACTTGTGGCTTAATCGGAGACAACACCAAGGAAAGAAGCAAAGACAAAGTCACTGCCTAAACCATCTTAACAGAAAGCGACGTCGACAAAGTTTTCTGCGCCAGTTCTCAAGGCCGTTTCTACGATTCAACAAACTGAGAGAAGGCTACAAAAAGCTACGAAATAGACATGCAGCTATCACGTGTACAATGAAGGAACACAGGCATCGTATCACTAGCTTCGGTTCTCGCACATGCAGGCGGCCAGCACTCGTTCTGTTTCAGCCACGACAGAGAAAGCAGCGTATACTATAGAGAACACGGTGCCTACGACATCCGACCCTCGAATGCTGTAAGGACTTCCACCTTTGTTCATTCCTCGCAAGAATTGCTCTGTCATCAGTAATTTCTACCTTTAAGCCTTGCTTCTGTTGGCAAGAACGCAACAGTCAACCTCACCCACCAGAGTCGTTATAGAATTCACCGGACTGCTCCCTCGGCCTTGAAGATTCAGTGAGACTGTGTAACTCCGCCAGGACGTGAAACTGTGAATGACGGCATTATTTTGTTTAACCTCTTCTTGAATTTCTTCTAGTTCGTAACCAGTGCCATCTTTCAGGGGGAGGGGGAATCATGTGACGTATGAGCCAGGCCACGACTCCCGCATCTAGCGTCGCATATCTATATATATATATATATATATATATATATATATATATATATATATATATATATATATATATATATATATATATATATATATATATATATATAGTTCAGCCGACTAGGCACAAAACACGATTTAACGAAGGTTCTCTGTAAATAATCAGTGCAAGCCGCAGTAATTTCTTTGTCATTTGGACTATGCCATCATCTATGCAACAGATACCAATGATCATCTCCTCGGAATTTCCCGCTAGGCCTGCTGGCACAACTACTTGATTAGTTCTCCGCATATTTGCATATTGACAGCTTGCACGCGACCATCGACCTGTCATGCATGGCCCGGAATTGGAGCCACCCATGCATGGATAACATAAAAGGCTTCATGTCCAGGTCCCCCCTCGGGCCACCCTCACAGTAATTTCACACGCGCAGGCATTGGTTGGTGGCCAGACCAATGCTCTGAGATATTTTGGGTGCCATGAAGTGCATTGAAGTTTTTAGTCTTTTTTCAAGGACTAAATAATATGTGCAAACCCAGATATTAGTATTAAGGATGAAAACATTTCTTTGTCACTTTTACGAACTTTCATAATTAACGATAAAACTTGAACGTAATCACTACTTTAAAACATTGAATTTGAATGCGTTGAATTTAGTGAAAAGGAACTGCGAGTGTGATTTCGATCAGCAAGAACGCTATCACTTCAGCTACAAAGGCCGAATAAATAACTAATAATCTTCCGGATTATTAGCTGTATTTCTATAATAATATGTATGATTAGCAATCGATCTCTGACTGAACTAATGATAATCAGGCCATTAGGTATAGCAATTTGGTCTGGCCTCCGCTGGCTATGCGTGACACTCTTGTGCGTGTGACGCACCCAGTAGTGCGCATTTTCAGACACGCTATTGTTGAAAGAAACTGCGTGAAACTCGGGGGCAACAGTGTTGTGGTTCTTCGGTTCAAGTAGTCATTGTTGATACGACTTTACCGATTTTAAATTATGAATTCTTTACCTTTTGTGTGATGCATGAAGCGGTGCCTGTGACATATGTGCCTACCACATACGTAGCACAAGTGGAGAACACTTGTGCTACGAAAATTTCTTTTTCGTTGTTCGCTAGTGACCGTCATGCTTGCTTACACCCCAACGCGAGACTGAGAGAAATACTTTAGATATATTAACTGCTATTGTTTTAAACGTGACTCGTGTTTTTAATTCAGCGGGCAGCGCAGAAGCTCGTAAGATTACACAACCACCAGTATCTTTCACAGCTCTTTTGTACGTATACATACGTATACTCTTCGTTGGTGGCTTTTACTGACTCGTTGGCCACTTTTTGTAGCATAGATATAATTGTTTGTTCAGAAAAATCAGATGAGTAATGGCAGATATCAAACAATTGATATCATATCAACACTGTGTTTATTTACATATGCTTTACAACAGAAAACACCAGGTGTCCAAAGCCTTCACTGATATTCCGCATCTTGTCAAGCTTTTATCGTCGTGTATTCTGAAATAAAGAACATAGAAGGTGCTACAGAAATATGAGCTAAGTGAAGCAGATAAATTGTGGCATGTAATACAACACCCACACAAACATTAGGATAAACTCAAAGGAACACAGAAGAACATAAAAAGAAAATGCGCCACAAGATCTGTTAGTTGATCAGTGTTCATTGTTTTCAAATACCTGCTAAGAGCGTAGTATTTTAAGGGCCTTTGTGATAAAGTTTAATTTTTTCTTGTACGCACTCACTTCAGGTAAAATAGTCGATCGTGATCTGTGCTCACCAATGTTTACCTGACAATGAAAATTTGGTCAACATTTGCTAGAATAATGTAAATTATTGGTTTCTAGCTGTTGCCGATAGTTTATTCCCGTGCCTATACACAGGCAATCTTGAATTTCTAGAAATGAAAAAAATGTAAGAGTATGCACGCCGCATTCAGCGTATTCACATACACCATAACCCACAGTGCACTGAATTTTCTTGTTATGTAATTGTATTGAGTAGAGAACCAAAATAAAAAAGTTGTACCTCAAATGGTCACATGAAGTCTATCCTTTCAGACCATATCCTCCGTACTTCAGACCACTTCCGTACCCGAGACCTCCGTAACCGAGTCCACCGTAGCCAAGACCACCACCATATCCCAGGCCACCTCCGTATCCAAGACCACCGCCAACCGCTCCGAGCCCGGAGTGGGCAACGATGGCACCTCCACCGTGGATTTTATTAACGTGGTGCACAGTACGCACAAGGAAGGCTGGCCCCGTCACTGATTTTCCGAAACCAGGACCGCCTCTGAGAAGAACCACGCTGCTGCCGATGCCTGCTCCACCAAGTCCTCCACCGTTGCCAAGGCCACCATAGCCTAATCCGTAGCCACCTCCGTATCCAATGCCATAACCTCCCAAACCGCCAGCTGCGGCGCAAGCTACAATGGCGAGGCAGGTCAGAGGAATCTGCAATATACAAGCACTTCGAAATAAAGTATCTTATAGCAGCTTTTCACAACTGCTGTTACAGTGGCGCTCTAATGCTTTTCGGGTAATTTCTTAATAAATATTGGCTGGTGATATTGAATGAGAATTGGAAATTCTTTGAAGGTAGGTCAAAGCTTTCATATTATTGCGTTTTATATTTTGTTCTCGAGAAAGTATGAATACATCAATGCAGGTCGCAATAACGCCTAGCGCCCGAATGATGACAGAATTGTCAACATAGTTTGACCATTCCGCCACCAAGCACAAACTAACGGCACTACTAGTAATTAGTTTTCTTTTTATCTTCTGTACTTTTTAACTGAAATCATTAAAGACGTGGTCGTAACAAGACAGTTGCTATAACTACAAAAGACTGAGGACGCGATGGCTGCTACTTCGTCTCTCGCTTTCTAGCATTGCTTAGGCAATCATCGAAAGTAAACTGCCACCACTTAGGTGTTTCAAGCTCGTCCCATTGGCAGCACTGCGTTATGTCAGTAAGCGCGAGAAAGCGAGAAAGAGGGCCTTGTGACCCCGCGAAATTGAACATAGCAGTAGGCTTTTCGTCAGTTCTGTTTTTAATTCCTTGTCAGAATAACATCCGATTGATCAACACTATTGATGTCGCTATCGCCGCATTGATTTGTTCATAAGGGAGCCTAGGCCACTCATAAATAAAGAAAGTTGTGGCGTGAAAACTGTTTGAGTGAAAACTAATATGCATATGTGGGTTTTTAGACGCTCAACCCGCACCATAAATTAATAATTATTAATGTATCAAGATCCCTCATGAAGGATGCGCTCGCATAAGCCTGGTGCTGAACGGAATATCGTGGAAACTCCAGCACGTCGGAAAACCAAAGTGTTTTCTGAATAGAATTATTAAGAAATACAAGCTGTTACATTAACTATAATTTACGAAGGCTTTTGTAGAAAGTGATGGTTCATATAAATGGCTAGCAGGCAGTTGCTAAAGCTAGGATACCTGAATTGTGTAAAAAACAAAAGTTTATACTGCTTTTGCGTAAGGTGTCCTGATGCAACTTTTTTTTTATTCCAATTACTGCGTGCCACTGTGCGATGACTTCGGAACATTCAATTTGTCAGTATAGTTGAATAGTGTCATATGGGATCAGTCATTCTTCCGAGAAACTGCTTTCAAATTGCTATTGGTTTTAAAACTTCGTATATGTAGCGGCTAGTGCCACGATACACAGCATGAGCTGTCAGATAGTCCCTGCTGTGTCCCGTAGACTTGCTTGCTTCTTTGCAGCGTCGCGTGTCTTTACAGAGTCAGCAACTCATCGTTCAATAACTCTGTCATGCTCTCAAACATCGGCGAATGAGTTCACCCGGTAGGTTTTTTTTTCTTTCTCCCCTTAAAGTTTTCAAAATATCGAAAAGAGCCTGCTAACTTACCAGAGCGTTCATGGCAAACGTTTGTGGAGTCTAGAGGGCCGCAGCTGATCGTACTCAGTGCCGCTTTCCGTTTTTATACTCCCGTAAGCTACCAAGCGTATACGCAGTCGTTGCGTCACAGGAGAGTAAGACTGGAAAGGCGGGGCTAGCAGACATTCTGACGACGCTTGTTCTTTGTCTTTTTTGGCATTAAGAATACAACCGTAACACGGAAATTTGTCGACAAAGCAGTGCTCGAGGAATTTCGTGCATCACGCTAGTAAAAGACAAAGAAAACGAGGAGCTGATCTTGGCGATAATATTCGTGTGGGGTAACTGAACTGAGCTATCCACGCGTTCTAGAGCAATTTACGGATTAACCGCAGAGACATAGTGGTGAACCGCTCTCACATCCTGGTTCGATTGTCCCGCATCTGCTCCCCTACCAAGCATGAAGTTGGAGAGGAATGCTTCCTCGCTTGTCCAACCACGAGAAAATCTTGCGGGTGGGTACGCTCCGCTTTCTGGTTGCATTTGCACTTTCGCTTTTGATGCGTGTTGTAACTTTAAGCCGTGGGAGATAACACCATACAACCATGGCCTCGGCTGTTTTTTCTTTATTCTTAGTCACCACTCATTTGATCAGTGAGGATTCGGTGCTTTAGTAGTGTTAACTCTGATACTAGGCTACTTTGCTCGAGGTTGGTGCGCGTTTCATTTGTTTACTTCCTTGTGCACCGGTCGACATAAAATAGAATACCAGAAGGCTACTGTAGAGCCCTTGCATTCTTTTCTTTTGTCATAGTATACCAGAGGGCTACTGTAGAGCCCTTGCATTCTTTTCTTTTGTCATTAATTATTTACTTTTTTTCGCGTTCATCAACTCTAGGGTGTAGCACATGGTCGTACAGCCAACGCTCCAAAAAAGAGTCAGATACTCATCTTCGCCTGTTGAAGACACCTTATTGGTGAACTAAGGGAAATTAAGAGATTGGGGCTACCGTTCGCTGAACTGAAAATGGAGAGTAGCTAACGCAAGCACAAATGCTCGCATTTTATCTGATAAATAATAAACAGATATCTGCAGCAGCAAACCCGCATTGAGCCGGCAGGGTTAGGTTGTAGAAATATCTAATTTTCGACTCAAAATGTTTTAACCGTCATTCAAATACAAAAGTTTGTAAGTGATATACCGGAGAAGTATCGTAGTATGAGCTAATGTATTTGTGTGAGTCGTATTATTAAAGTTATGTTTCTTAACGCAGATCATTCACTTCTTAATGAACTGTTACTACACACTACTAGCCGCTAGTATATTTAGGCAAAGGTGCAGTACTTCAGTAACACAAACTGTGTTCGGCGTAAGTTCACATTTCCATAGCCTTGGTTTATACGCACTTTCACAGCACGGAATGCCATCAGATGATTCATTCTTGGGGCTCCCTGCTGTGGCGGAAGGCTTATGCCTTTACGCATGACATGCTACGCGCAAGACATGTTCTTAGCGCTCAACAGAGGAATATGCATGCAATGAAAGAAAACCACGAGCAGACACTGATACACCAATACTAGCAGCTATGCAGCAAAGTAAGTTAACATGACGCAAGTGACTAAAAACAAATTGCATAATCAGAGTAAACCCAGTTCTCTTCACCGGCTTTCAGGATACTTTTGGAAGGTATCCATGGGCATTGAGGGTACTGCAACTGTGTTAGTCAAGGCAGCGAAATACTGAATATATGGAGTAGCACTGGCCTCATCTGCAACATCTCGGCTCCTGAAGAACAAACTTTTACAATTGACTACATATATTTGCAGATAGAGGCAGTATCATTTTAGTCATCTTTTAATCTATGTTCGTATTTATTCTATTTTCCTCTCATTGGTAACGAACTAGACAAAGTATTGGACAAACATTAACTCAACAAACTTCAGGTCGCATGGACCATCACTCATATTCTCTACGTAGTCAAGCACGTCAATTTTGAGGCAAATAGCAATTAGAAAGAATGCAAGAATGCTATGACGGAAAATGGTGTTTCTGGCCCTAAAACCCTTGTACGGGACTGCAATACACATGTTAGCTTCTGCCCAAACGAGTTACAAGAAATACTACTTCCGAGTTTTTATTCTTCACATCACTTAATCTGTCACTTCTATTACACTGACATTTTATTTGTGATTTGCAATAGTGACGTTCCAAAATCAGAAATTGGGTACCATACACTTGATTGTCATTTTCTGGCGCTGAGACAAGGTTCATTGCACTCTTTTTTATATCAGCGCTGCGTGTGCGTCGTAGCGACGAAGCCAGCGTCTCATTCGAGGACAGAGCTACCAATTTCCAAGTCCGGGATATATAATATTTGATCTAACACTTCCCACCAGCTTGCGATTATGAACACTGCTTTTGTTGTTGTTGTTGTTGTTGTTGTTGTTGTTGTTGTTGTTGTTGTTGTTGTTGTTGTTGTTGTTGTTGTTGTTGTTGTTGTTGTTGTTGTTGTTGTTGTTGTTGTTGTTGTTGTTGTTGTTGTTGTTGTTGTTGTTGTTGTTGTTGTTGTTGTTGTTGTTGTTGTTGTTGTTGTTGTTGTTGTTGTTGTTGTTGTTGTTGTTGTTGTTGTTGCAGGTGCATTGGATGGACGCCCAACTTCATGAACGAGGATAACCATTCTCTTCTTCAACTGTTTTGAAGCACCTTTCGGACACTTATTGAAGACACTCTATACAAGGCTGTTGTGCCTTGATGTCGCTCACGAAAGTTTTGCCATCCTCATTACTAATTGAATTTACTCTCGTGATGCAGAAATTGAATTCCAGCGTGTACTTCAAACCTCTGTACTTCCGATGATATTACAATATTTTATTCCTACAAAGATGTCTCGCCTCTTGTTCATGTTCTTAATTCCGATTCAGAAAGTATTCGCTGGTTTTCTATAACATCAACACGTTATACATCGATGTACCAGAGACTCCTATTGTTGTATTGCATTCAGACCATCCCAACGTAACATCCATTCCACCTATACCTTTTTCCAGCCACCATTGTCGTCTAGGGCCTCTGCCACTCGGCGACAGACTCGCAGGTCATGGGATCAAATCCCGGCCGCGGCGGCCACATTTTCGATGGTGGTGAAAACGCTTGGGGCCCGTGTACTTAGATTTAGGTGTATCAAAGCGTCGAAATTTCCGGAGGCTTTATCTACGGCATCTCTCATAATCGTATTGTGGGGGATTTGGGGCATAAATTCCAACAGTTATTATTATTATTATTATTATTATTATTATTATTATTATTATTATTATTATTATTATTATTATTATTATTATTATTATTATTATTATTATTATTATTATTATTATTATTGTACTGTGCACTAAGTCATTGTATTTTACCATCACTTTACGTTTCTTTCGTTCACTCTCATTGTATTTAGGATAGATGATGAGGCACATTTAACACTCATGATACACCTCACCAGATTGTTCAAAATAAATACAACAGAACAGTTAGCTGCTTTTGACTCTTTTGTGATGCCGAATTTTGCTACACGGGAATAACGTCAGTGCTGTTTCTGTACTCACTATGAAAAACCTAGATATTTTTTTTATCTATTTGAGACAAGCGAACTACTAGCCGGTATAATGCTAGCATTCAACTTGATGATTCGTTGCGATTCCACAATGATGCAGAAAAACAATTTTATGTTTCCAATAACCTGCACTAATTATGGCATGCAAACATGCAAATAAAACAATTTATTTCTTCGATGTAGAGTACTATTGCACTATAGGGAAACTGTGAGACATTGACGCGGTCACGTTAAGTGTCTCGTTTTGAAAAAAAATCTGGATTGGGAGTTGGTTTTGGCGTCGGTATTGAGCTTGTTGATCGTGAGTGAAAAAATTATCATCTTGTCCACGACTGAAATATCAGGAAAGCTGCAAATAAAGCAAATTGTAAGAACGTTCACACCTGATTGCGAATCAAATCAGGGTCATCTGCGTGGCAGGCAGATGTTGTACCAAGAGCCACGCATCTTCTTGAAACTATTTCGTAAAAATTGCCCTATAAGAATGTCAAGTGGCGCAAGTAGTCTACTGTTTTATGACGCTATATATATATATATATTATTATTATTATTATTATTATTATTATTATTATTATTATTATTATTATTATTATTTATTGTCATCTTCAGTTGTACAAAACAAATAACAGACCTGCCAAAGCCATACAGTGGCTTGGAGGACTTGGCCCGGCACATCGGAAGACGAGAGATGACATATATATTGAAAAGCTTTTCATATAAACAATCAGAGAAAGAATACATGTAACTCATTTACGCTACATATAAACACAATAACAATCGAGAATCAAATTAGCGGAAGCAATACTACCTAAACAGCACAAATGTGAAGACAAGCATTAAAAAATTTCAAACAGATTATACCTAGTATGCTAGAAACTAGAAAAATAATAATGCGATAACTGATGCAGCACTAAAGAGACCTTAGGCTTTTTCGTATACTGCGTTTGGTCGTTGCCGAAAAAACACTCTCGGGGATGTCATTAAAAACAGTAGGGACATAGACCTTTCTAGTAGCTTTGCCATATTGTGTTTTCACGAATGGTACAGAAAGCAGGCAGTTTTTTTAAATATACGAGGGGTAACGCATTCGTTTCTGAACTGAGAACCCCAGAAATGCCGTAATACAACAGTTTGGTTAAAGGACGCTTTGAAAGACGGCATGCGAAGTAGAGGAAATAAACTCACATTGTATGTTGAAGAACAATTATACACAATGGATTTCAACATACTTTTTAAAATATTGTCAACCCGACGCTGCCATCGCGAAGAACAAAAAGCAAATAAAGTGATGCTATATCGTAGGATACTATACGCAAGAGCAAGCATGATTGTCACTTTAATATTGGTGGGTGCAATTCATCTAATATTGAAAAGTAACCACGAGGTTTTTCGTAGTCTGTCACAAATGTAAGTCAAATGATCATTCCAGGACAGGTTGTAACCAAGAATACACCAAGATATTTTATAGAA